CTTAACAACCCCGCAGCAATCCCGCCGCCGCCTCCTCCAGCTTCCCCTCCCCTTGGCAGTGCCGGGCTTTTCCTTTGCGCAGCTTCTTTTCTTGCCGGGCTGGTTGCTGGGAGGTGCAGTGGGCAGTGGCGGCTCCCGCTGCGAAGCTGGGGGAGGAGAGGGGCCCCGGCCAGCCACGGAAGGCGGCGAGAGTCGCTCGCTTCTGTGAGTTCTGCCGGTGGGGGGCCGAAGAAGGCTGTCGACCAGGAGAAGGCCGAGGTTGAGGAGGCCGGGGAGGGGTGATGATGGTGTTAAATGTGGCCGCGCAGCTCCCCGGGGAGCTGCCTGAAAGGAGAGTGCGCTCACCAGCTGACAGCGCGTGCTCCGCTCCAGACGCTCGGCACCGCGGCCAGGAGCCTCTGCCAGCCCCTCTATTGTCAGCCGTTCTCTAATTAAGAAACACTCACATTACGGCAAACCACCCCCACGCTTCTTGGTTCCTGTCCTTTTCTTTATCTTCCCCCGACGTCTCGCCTCCCCTGCCTCTCCCCTGCGTCCCGGGATTTAACCCATTCTCCTCTCCGTTCGCCTATCCTTGTTAGAGGCCTAGCTAGCGGAAGGGAAGCCACCTCAAAGGTTGGCGTCTGGGATTCTCTGCTCAGCCTCGGGGTGAGGGTGGCTGGTGAGAGTAGAGTCAAAAACAGCGAGGAAACTTATACCTTTATTACGTGCCCACGGTCCCCCTCTCCCCCAGATGTCCCACCCCTTCCCGCAAAAACAGTTGCAAATAATGTAACTGCTAGACGTCATGTTTAACACTCACCAGTGGTACCTGCTGGGTTTTCCAGACTGCAATTGACAAGTCTAGATTGCAATTGACAAGTAGATCTACTACTTTTCGTTTCCAATTCTGACTGGGGTTTGAAACTGCCATGACAAAGTTGATCATCTCTTTCTTGAACTTTCAAATGAGCAGAGGAGAGAAATAATTCCCAGATAGCCTTTGATAAAAGACTGCTTGCTTCGTTCAGATTTCAATCTCTAAAATCAATTGAAAGGCCTAATGAAAGCATTGGTCCTGCGTTAGTTAAGATTATGTATGGAAACTTAACTCTCCCTCCTGTTTTCTTGTTTCACTGGACTCCCAGTTAACAATGTCCCATAGAAAACGTTTGAACTTGCCAGTTGCCAAAAATAATCTTTCTTCAGCTTTCTACGAAATCAAGTAAGTTTCCCAAAGGGTGGTGAGCCAAAAGCCTTCACGAATAAAAGTGGTGCAGTAGAAGGCAAAGACAGGATATAAAACAAGCTGTTTAAAGTACATAAAACTCTAGAAAGCACCAAGCAGTGTCGCAAAAGACTAACCCGATTTATCTATCTTCATTACTTTAAGAAATGCTGCCTCTTTGTTTGTTTGGGTGATATTAAGCATGCTTAACTTGCACACATAGTTGATTCCTTTGCTAGTATCTTGGATACTTGGATCTGACTTTGGAAGGTAGAAGCTAATTGCTAATAATGGAGAGAAAGGAACCAGTCAGCATGGCAGGAGTGGTCTGGCATATGGGGAATGAGCGCTCAGAAATACTCAATATTCAAGTTTCCAAAATATTAATGAGATTATAGCAACCTGCAGCTATATGTTACAGCTTGTTAATGGAGTGTAAGAGAGCGGGCTGCCAAACGTTTGTTATGCAAACTCCATAGCAGAACCCTAAGATGGAAATGTGATTGTACATCTCTTTCAAAGAAATGCCAGCATAAAAAGAAAGAAATAGAGTGAAGGCAAGAAAAGAGGTTAAAGTCCTCATTTGAACTTTGAGCACTCAATTTACACAAAGCGGTTTGGCTTTTTGTGCATGTCTTGATGAGAATTCGCTCTCACTCTTCAATCAGAGTGATATAGAATTTCCAATCTGATATTCTGTCGTAGCTGTTTTCTCTTGAGAAGACATGTAAAATGACTTCCTTAAATGAAGTTTGCAGCATTTCTGATTCATGTATAATGCCCCTAACATTTAAAAACATAAATATCTATCTTTGTGGTTCAAGAGAAAACCCTAAATATTTGCCTAGCCGTAACTCCTTTCCATGGATTTTCTTAGAGAAAAAAGTCTGTGGGCATATTGACCTAGTGGATGGGAATAATTACAGCCAGTCTGGATATTGACACTTTGTGATTGTATGATATTGGAGCCAGTTAGTGGCAGCAGTTTCCTTATTTATAAAAGATGGGAAGGACGATGTTCTTGATGTCATTTCTATTTTGAAATTTCTGTAAGTCCATGAAAAGAAAAAGAATAGCTTTGGAGGATGTTCTCCCGCCCCGGGGTCAACACAAAATGAGCATATATGGTTTTGAAAAAAATGAAATATAGGTCACTTTCTCTGAGAAAAAAGAATCACAACTTTAATTTTTTTTTCCCATATTGCCTTTACCAAACTCAGATTCATAACAGGTCAAATAATTATAGGTCGTTTTCTCTCTCTCCCTCTACACATGTATAGAAACACACCAAGCCAAATAACTATGAAAATATGTGTGCGCTCATCCTGCAAAGTTGCTGTGTGTCCATGCCTGTTGAATTTACTTACTGAGAGCGGAATGGAAATGTGTGAGAAGCAATCGGTTGATTTATTCAGCAGCCTGAAGATTCCTGATGTTTATCGTGAGCACGGCAAACTCAGCGGTGCAAAAGGTTATCTAAGGGACAGGTGCATTGTTTCTGCCCCTGGAAAGTGTCGGGAGCTACCGTTTACTTCTCAGAGCTGGCGGAGCCTCTTGGCTTCCCTGGAGCTTCGAGCTTCGGCTTCAGCTGAAAGCCAGGGAAACCCAGGTGGTCAGTCAAGAGCTAGTTTCGCAGTTCCTCACTCCAGATCAGAACTGAGCCCCTTCGCGCGTTACTTTACTGCAGAACTAGTTTGTGGCGCTCTCCCCTTTTCAAGGTGCTGGAGAGAGAGGATGATGCTGGAACAATTAATTTAACTTTCTCTGGCTACCCCCCCCCCCCGCCCACCCCTGCTTCCTTGTTCTCACAATTTGTTATCCTAATGAAGACACAAAATATAAAAGATTTGGCTTAAAATCAACTTTTCAAATTCAGCGATGTTTATCCTGTGGAAAGTCGCCCAATCTATAGTTTAACAAATAGTTCTACTCTCACGTTTGACGAATACATTTTTAAAGTTCCTCTTTCTACCGTCTCTACACACGCACTATATTTGCCTTTTCAAAATCTTTGATCTTGATACCCAGAATAGGCTTTTCCTTGGTGAGGACCTAGAGGGTGAGAGTGGCTGTACCGTTTAGTTTCTGCAACTGCCTCAAAAAAAAATAAACATTTTCTACATAGGAACTAATTCAGAAAGACAACATAAAAGCAAACATTATCTTCTATAGTGGAATAAGCAGAATTGTTTGGGGGGGAAGCAGGGGAGGGCAACAATTTCCTAGGGCTTTTAATTTTTGAATTAGGGAACCCCATACCCTTTCCCCTTAAGTTTTGTCCATTGTTCTCTTTTTTGCTCCTGCCTTCAACTTACCCCTTTCGTGCCACCCCCACCCCCAACCCACCACTGAAGGAAAGGGAGGGAGGGAGGAAAGGGGAGAGAGAGAGAAATTGAGAAAACTTGTGCTGTGTGTTTTTGACCTATGGCAAAAGCCTTCAACTTGGCTAAAGTTTTTATGAAATGGGACTAAGCAATCTTGGTAAAGTTCACTACTCCTGGTAAGGTCTTAGGAGATCTGAAACAGGTGCATCCCCTTGCAAAGGCTGTTGGGGCCAGCAGTGAGGAAGACTGGAAAGATCCAGGCTATCAAAGAGGCAAAATGGTTACAAATTTGGGGAAAGTTTTTACCTAACAACTTACTGACTTGATCGCTCGCACAGCTTGAAGCTACAATGTTTATGATAGACTTTTTCTTCAAAACTTAGATTCGCGTTTAATAGAGGACTAAGTTCAAGTCTTCAAGGTCATTTCAAAACTTTTTAATACTTATATTAGAATGGAATAAGTGACAAATACAGTTATTTCCGTGTTTATTTTTATCACTTGCAAAAGAAAATACATAAAACAATGGCAGTTGGCTTTGCTAAATTAAAATAAAATGATCTCGAGTAGAAAAATGTAAAAAAAATGAATCAAGATAAGTAGAAATGGTAGCAAACAATCAATAATAAATAAGTTTCCTAACATTAACAAAGCAAAGTAAAATTGACCAAATGCTTTGACACTACTGGATTTTTTTTAAATTTTAGTTTTTTAAACAAACATTTGCAAAGAAGTTAAGGTTTATAAGTGGCCGTGTTTGAAACAACAACAACAATAACAACAACACAAAACTGGTCTGCAATTGGCAGTTGAGTTTGTCCTGAAACCGCAGTAGTAGCGGCTGATAAAGTGCGTGCGTCAAGTTTCCTAAAAGACGCCAACATTATCGCTATCCGATATACATACTGGGTATGTTTATACAGTATATAAACCTAAGAGTTCCCTGTTTTCTAACGTTCCATAGTCAAAAGTTATTCACTTTGGAGTCATTAACTTTGCGTTTCATGATACATTTTGAGAAAGTATTTCGGAATATTAATTCTCCCACACGCGAGTGCGCGCAACACACAGGGATGAATGCCCAGGGCATAAAATAAATTAAGACACAAACCAGCGACAGAGAAGAAAACGCGACGTTTTAGCAGCGTATTGGCAGCAGGGAACTAGAAAAATGATGCCATATTTGGGTACATACAATTATACCTATCAACTTACAGGGGGAGAGGGTGGGAGGAAAGAACAGAACTTTAACAGCAAGTTTTCATTAATATGGACCATAGGAAGTTTGAAATAGCGGCGGCTTTTGCAAACCATCAAATATAGCTGCCATATGAAGCCAAGTCGTTGCTAAACAACGACAATCGCAGAGCAAAAATTAAAAGGGTGCGGGGATCTTTAACCATGGGGCTTTCAGCTCATTGGGCAAGGGCGATTTTGTTTGTCTCAGTTTTCAGGTTTCTGTCACCTCCCTAACTTGCCTCATCTGAGTCACTGTAATGGGAATGGGGGGAAAACTCCCCGTCGCTTCTGTGGGATCGGGGCGAAGTTTTGCTACTTTCTTCCTGCACCGGCTGCAGGATGCCCCCGGGCAGTGAAGGCGACAGGTTCTTTTGCGCCATCATCGCCGTCAGGGCGCTGTCCTCGAAAGTCGAGAAGTGCAGAGCGTCCAGCTGCACCGAGTATCCTCCCGCGGAAGCCGGGGCGGAAAAGCGAGTCCGGCAACTTCCAGGCGGCGTCGGCCGCTGGCCCCCTCCGGAGGCTGGCTGGGCCCCAGCCGCGGTCGCGGTGCCCGCGCTGCCTTCGTAGGGGGCGGCGGCGCGAAGGTGGTGATGGTCGCTCTTGCAGGATGCTGGCGGCGGTGGCGGCTGCTCCCCGCCGCTGGGCGTTTGTAGCAGCTCGGACAAGGCGTTGATGTAGATCTGGGCCATCTGCAGGGTCTCGTATTTGGACAGCTTCTTGTCGTTGTTGAAGGACGGGATAACGTTGCGCAGCTGGTCGAAGGCGTGGTTCAGCCCGTGCATCCTGCGTCGCTCCCTGGCGTTGGCTGCCAGGCGCCTTTGCTTCTGCACCCCGTTCACCTGTTTGCTGGAAGGGGCGCGCTGGCGGCTGCAGCCCAGCTCGTCCACTACCACTCCGCCTTTCAGTTTGCACAGCTGTTCCCGCACTTTCACTGGCCCAGGACTCTTGCTGCTGCTACCGCCGCCGCCGCCGCCGCCGCTCCTCCTCACCAGCTCCCCCCGGCCGTCTGCCTCCTCCCGGGGCGCCGCAGCCTCAGAGGCACCCAACTCGGGGGAATGCAGCAAGTACTGGGCGGCGCGTGCCGTGCAGATGCCCTGCAAAGTAGGAGCCAGCCAGGCGCGTGGGTCGGTGCTGTCCAGGAGGGACAGCTCCGCCGGGTAGACGGGATGCTCTCTCGTCTGCAGGGTCGCAGGTGGCTGTGGCGGCGGCGGCTGCGGCAGGTGGTGAGGCTGGGGATGGCGATGGTGGTCCCCCAACTCCTTTACTTCAGCCCACTCCTCTGCGTGCAGCAGGCGGGACATTGCACTTCAGAGGCTTGGAGGCGCGGGGACGGAGGAGGCACTGGCAAACCAGGTCAACTACAACAAAAACCCTTCCTGGGTCCCTACTGCAATGTCTTATTTTTTTTTTTTCTCCTCGACCCTCCCCCACCCACACGGAGATCACACACCAGGTCGCGTGCAACGAAGCTTCTCCGGTTGCTGAAGGCGCTGCGCCCCTTTAAAAAGCGGCACGCGCCAGTGTGTCACCCCCCCCCCCCTCCTCTCCCAGCCCCCTCCTCGCGCCGGTCGCGTGTCTGCTCAGCCAATGGAGGGCGCCGGCAGGCGCGTGCGAGCAGCCAATCAAAGAGTTTTTACACCCGGAGAAAAGTTCCTGCCTACTCAAGACTCGGGGGCCTGCTCAATGTCCGCCCCCCTCCCTCCTTTCTTCTACCCGCTTTTAAGTTAGTCAAATTCATATGTTAATTGGGGGTTGTAATTCGACTCCTGTGATGTGTCACCGCGCCAAAGGCCTGGGTGCTTGAGCGGATGCGAAGCGCACTCTTGGCTGGAACCTGAGAGAGGCTGAGCGCGCCGGGCGCTGGGAGGGCACTCCCGTCGGGGGAGAAGCCCGTCTGCCCTTTGGGACCTCCAGACTAGGATCGCAGCTCCCACCGTTTGTGCCCAAATGTGTAAAGTATCTCATGTATATCATCCATGTATGTATATATAAGTCGTTCATAATATATGTTCATTGATATAATTGCATAGATATATAATTGCTAAGTGAGACCCACTAAAAATCAAAGTCAGAATGGAAAAAAAAAAAACCACAACACAAAAAACAAACCAACAAAACCCCCATAACTGTCTCAGAATACACTTCTTAATTTTCAACTCTCTCTCCAGATCAACTTCAGGTAACCTGGTAAAGCTGTGGTACAATGATAGAATGCACTAAACTTCATATTCCCCAGTCCTCTCAGTGCCCTTTTCACTGCAACCCGGCCAAGTAGGACTGTAATCTGCTGGAAACTCTGCTGAGTGGCTGTAGGGCAGGGATATTTTACAGTTTCAACACCCACAGTCGGACTCCTTACGAAATGCGGAGCCAGGGAAAAGTGCCCAAAGAAAAATGAAAGACGGCTGCGTCCCCTGCAATTCTGAACCTTTTCAAGGTACAGAATCCCAGAGTTACCTACCCTTCTGCTACGGGAGCCCTGGGTTTAATACGGCGCGTGGCTTCTCCCGCAAACACCCAGAAAACCACAGCCTAACACACTACACGCCCCCCTCCGCTTAGTTCTGGGTGCTCTCCCCCAGCATCCCCTATTCCCAACCGCACAACCACCACCGCCAGCCACAGAGCCAAACCCCGGGAGGTCCCGGGCGAAGCTGGGAAGCTGTAGCTCAGGTGAGCTCCTTCCCTGCTCCCGCCCCTTAGCCCAGACTTCTCGAATTCGCAACAAAAAGCCAATCAGAAACGCCCTGCCCGGGGACTGCCCCTGCTGGTGTCTCACGACGCCACACCTCTCGGGGCGCAGGACTGGGGCGCAGGACTGGGACGCAGCCGGCGGGTGCCAGTGCTGCTTTCTACTTTAGCGGTGGAAAGGAGTTTCTTCCTCTAGAAGAGATGGTGAAAAGAAAAGCCAGAAGAGAAAGCTCACTGGAAGCTGGTTTTTCACGGCACAGAAATGACTGAAAGTTGTTCTTGCTAGTATTCACAGGGACTTGATCTAACGTGCGATTTAGAACTCCTTCCACAGAATTATTTCTGGGACTGGATTGGATTAGTGTGCATATGTATATTTACACATATATATGTATATATACACATAATGCAGTGTATATATGCAATAATATAATGTATATACAGTGTATATATACACTGTGAATGTATATAATATACATATATATGTATAATACATACATATACACACTGTATTATATTTATTTATTTACTTATTTTAAAAAAGATTTTATTTATTTATTTGACAGAGAGAGCGATCACAAGCAGGCAGAGAGGCAGGCAGGGGTGGGGGAGCAGTCTCCCTGCTGAGCAGAGAGCCCGATGTGGGGCTCAATCGCAGGACCCTGAGATCATGACCTAACCTGAGCCCAAGGCAGAGGCTTAACCCACTGAGCCACCCAGGTGCCCCTGTATTATATTTAAATATGCCCATACATACTGTATTGTACCTACATTTCCTATACTATATACTACATACTATATTCTTGTATAGCTTTGTGGAGATTAGCTACATCTATGTCCATCTCCATAAAGGTACTGAAGGGTAGAATAGAGTGCTAATTCTGTTTTTCCTTCAACCTTGTTTGCTGGTATTTAGGGACAGTTCTTGGCCTTCAGACCTTAAGAGGCAGAAGGATCAGAGCTGGATTCTTATGTAAATGTTTAGATTCTGCTGAAATAAGTATGTTCAATAAGACATGCAGAAACAAAAGCAAAACCAGAAAAACCCAAACTTAATTTGAAAACAACTGCTGAGAATAAAGAAAGTGTGTAAAGGGAAAGTCATCTAGCATCTTTTTTGGGAGAAAATTCTCCAATTTTTTGGTGATTGTACTGAGTACTATGGGGATCAACCAATGATGCTTTTTCTATAAATTGTACTGCCATCTAGAATGTGGTTCTTCAGGGGCGCCTGGGTAGCTCAGTGGGTTAAAGCCTCTGCCTTCGGCTCAGGTCATGATCTCAGGGTCCTGGGATGGAGCCCCGCATCAGGCTCTCTGCTCAGCAGGGAGCCTGCGTCCTCCTTTCTCTCTCTGCCTGCCTCTGCCTACTTGTGATCTCTGTCAAATCAATAAATAAAATCTTAAAAAAAATAAAAACAAATAAAATGTGGTACTTCAAAAAAAAATAATTGCGAATAGCTGTGGGTGCCAAATTATAACTTTCAGGGAAAATGACGAACCATCTTCTATACAGGTATGGCAATGTAAGTGACTAGAGCCTGGCAGGATCAGTTGTTTATATTGCATTTTATTCCTTACAGGTCCCAACTATATCAGCTGAAAGTTACTCCTTCCACATAATGTCACTACCAAATATGTAGGATGGCCCAATTTTCCCTGGACTTGCATCGTCCAAACGTTTTGCTTGCCTTTAGATTTGACTGCATAACCACCAAATATTCATTTCCCTCTGTGTTTAAACAGTATTATGGGCTGTAGACAAGTATTTATCAGAGACATAGAATATTGATCCTAATTTGCTAGCTTTGTACATAATTTTAGCCTTAGTGCTTCTTGGAAGCAAGCCTCAATGTTTGAGTAAATTAGAGTGGCCCAACAATGTGAGAGGCTGTAAGATTTTTTTAATACGTTGTAGTGAAATACATTCTTTTGTGTTTGGAGTAAACAGGAAGCTATTTTCTTTGCCTTTCCTTGCCTTCCTTTCTCTTCCATTAGGTGGGGCTGAGGAAGCTAGGCATCTGAGCTGGGAAGGGGAACACAGGGCCCAGGGCTGGGGGTGGGTGTGGGGGTTGGAGTTGGAGCCTAAGTAGTGTGAGCAGGATGCCCCTACAGAGGGTTTGTCACATACGATGTCAATCATCAAGTAAGGCAAGTGTATGTAGGGGCTGGATGGTGGTGTTTGTGTGTCCATGGACAGACGGATTAGTGACATAAGGAAGGATTAATGAAAAAAGTAAGTATTTGGGAACAATCAGAATAAGTTTTCTCATTGTCATAGAAAGGAGTTACAAATATTGAAATGGAGAAAACTGTGGTGTTGGATTCAAATTGGAGATTTTGATATAAATTTATTGTCTTTAATATATGTAATTAGATGACAGAAATCAACAGATAGGAATCTGAGGTGTGTGTTTACATACATATTCTCTAGTTCTTTTTGTTCTCAGGGCCTTGGATCAGCAATGAGCATATCTAGTTCTCAGATTTTAGTTTTTAAATAAAATTGTCCACTAAAAAGAACCAGTGTTCTTGGGGAAATGGGCTGATTCCAAGAATGGGCAGAAAAGATACAAGATAAACATAGAACATCTTGTGTCAGAAATAAGGAAGTGCTCAAAGTGTAATGGGGACATGTCAAAAGACTGCAGAAGCCTGCTTAAAGAGGCCTCTACTGATAAAATATAGGACAATTTGAGTATCAACATATGTAATGATAGTAACAGATTAGCTAACACCGAGAAATAAAGGAATCTATGAGTCCTTACTAATAGAATAAACGAATGCATTGAAGGTTTGATGAATACCTAGTCACAAGATATGTGTTGATTACAAATGAAAAAAGATAGACTCTACTGCCATGGAGAACTATGGCAGACACCAACTTAATTAAGTGATCAAAGTTAAGACCACCAGCAATGGGATAAATCAAATTTATGTGCTATTTGTTATGATGCAGAAAACTCAACATTACTTCCATGATATTCCTGTCAAAAACACATATCCTGAATCCAATCAAGAGACAACATGATAGGGCACCTGTGTGGCTCAGTCGGTTGAGCTTCCAGACTCTTGATTTAAGCTCAGGTCATGATCCTGGGGCCCTGGGATTGAGCTTCAAGATGGTGCCACACTCAGTGTGAAGTGTATTGAGGATCCTTCTCCCTCTCTCTCTGCCCTCCTCCCACCCCCAAATAAATAAATCTTTAAAAAAGAGACAGAGAGAGATGCCTGGGTGGCTCAGTGGGTTAAGCCTCTGCCTTCAGCTCAGGTCATGATCTCAGGGTCCTGGGATCGAGCCCCACATCGGGCTCTCTGCTCAGCGGGGAGCCTGCTCCCCCCTCTCTCTCTGCCTGCCTCTCTGCCTACTTGTGATCTCACTCTGTCAAATAAATAAAATCTTTTAAAAAAGAGAGAGAGACAGAGAGAGAGAGGGAGAATACCAAACAACCCAAACTGAAAGAACTTCTAGAAAATAACCTGCCTATAAATTTTGAAGGTATCAAGATCATGAAAGGCAAAATGCCCCGGGATCTATTCCAGACTAGAGGAAGATAAAAAGACATGATAATAAATCTGATGCCTGATTCTATGTTGTCTCGTTTTCTAAT